GTGGTTCACTTTTTTTTATCCACTGTCTCCCCCCATCTGGGGGGTTTTAGCTGGCAACCGCTTCCCTCTCCAGGCAGCTTGACTCAGCTTTGGGCCCTCTGTCCCTTGTGAATTAGTAACCGCACAGCAGCCTGCCGCTGCGAGGACAGCCGGGCGTTACCGCCGCAGAGCTGCGAGCTGCTCTCGAGCCTCTTTGTTTCTCCGGTCGCGCGTTGCAGAAAGGGGCGACATCGCGACCTTGTTCCCATGGGACTGTTGCGTGGCCGGAGGAACCAGACAGTGGTTCCTTTCGGGAACCAGACAGCAGCGGCTGAAGTGGCCCGGTTGCTAAAGACACAAGGTTTTGGGGTCTGTCTTGTCGCCCTGTTGGATCTCTGCAACAGGCGAGCCCTGGAACGCCCTGTGTCAGGTCCGCTCCGAACACCCTGCGTGCCGCACTGGTAAAGGAATGCTGTCAAAACGCTGAACGGATGCCAGAGAAGAAATTGCCCCCTTTTTGCAATGAGCTCCGGGCCGGTGTAGCCTCTCTCTTTGACACCCCTCGGAGATGGGGACTCTGGGCCCTGCACCCCCATCCACAGCTAGAGGCGACTCTCGGCCAACTGGTAGATCAGAAGGTGTATTGGTTCACAGGGACGCAGCGTGGAACAGACTAGTTAGCACAGGAACCAGGAGCAGGCAGTCCCATCCATCTTGGGGAGAGGGGGGCTCAGAGCTAGGGCCCTAGGCCCCCCTCCCTGTATCCAAAGCCAGCGGAGACTAACACACACTCAGCAACCGGTCCCCTCTGTGCAGCTTCCATGGGCAAAAGGTGTTACCTGGTTGCACCTCCCCTCTCCCAGGCTCCGGTTACAGAAAGCCTCCGGCATTGTGGACACGCTGGGGCAGCCTCCCTCAGTGAGAGTCACACCTGGAATTCTCACCCCCACCTAGATATTGGTACAGTGACCGGGGAAACTGAGGCACGTCCACAGGACACCTCAGGGACAGCAGAAATCCCATGCAATGCAACAGAGCAAGCCGAGCCAATATGATCCGTGCTTTGTCACCGTCCCATTGAAGTCCTGCCCTGTGCTACATGGCGGCCTTCGTTTGCAACTTGTGTGGGGAAGGGATCTGTTAAAAGGTACTCAACTCTTAACCGGGGAGGCCGACTTAGGTGCCACAGGGTCTGAGAGCAGCCGGATGCTAATGAGCAGACACTGGTCGCTTGCAGAATAAGAAACTGCTACCTGCCAAAGGCGGTCTGGGAACTTGTAGCGGTTTATGACACATACCTGTTTGCTGGGGTGCCAGATTCATCTCCTAGTGTTCACTCCCTCAGCTGCATGGCTGTCCCGTTAACCGTGCCACGAGACCTCACACTAATGTTCTTCTCTTTCTTTTTAGTGTCGGCAAAAAGATTTTCTGCCAAGGTGAGGTGACGTCCGTCTCCTGTTGACCTGGGGGGGTTGATTCACAGCAGTAATAGCAATAAAAGTGCTCTCCGCTGTGTTTAATGGCCTGGCTTGAATCTTAGTGGCAGTGTTTAGCGAGAACTAGCACAGAGGGAAAGGCTTGTTCCGAGGTAATTGACAGAGCTCCTTGGGGCTGGGACCAGGGCCGTTGCCTTTGGCCCTGTGTACAGCACCTAGCAAAGAGGCAGCCGTATACTTGTTCTGGGACTAGAGGTGCTACAAAGAATCAGTTACTCATCTGTGGGTACCCGGGGCTCCATTTTTTGGGCACAGTGTGATAGTGCATGTCTCCTTCCCACCCCATCCAGTGGGGCCGACAACTCGCCGGGCCCCTGGGAAAGGTGGGGAGTGACCCAGCTCTGCATGCCCAAAGGGGCGGGGCCTTTGGTGGAAGGGGCGGGGTTAGGGCTAGCTTTCCCCGGGCAGCCTCAATACTGCCTGGAGCGTGCTGTCCCTACCCCTGGCAGCCCTGGGGTGGCCTGGGGGGCGGGTCTCTGGCTGGGAGCCCCAAGTCCTTTTGAATCGCTACTTTCTGGGGCAGTTGCACCCTCTGCCAGGCCCTGCCCCTGCCCAGTGCAATCTCTCAGGCAGCCGTGGCATTGCTCAAACGCTTCAGAGGGGAGCCGAGTTAGTCTGTAACTGGAAAAACTTAAAAATCAACGAATAGTCTAGCAGCATCTTAAAGGCTAACAACACATGTCGATGTTGTCATGAGCTTTCGAGGGCACAGCCCACTTCTTCGGATGAATGGCGTTATTAAAGGTCCAGTTTCGAAAGACATAGGGAATGTGGGGGGGAAGGGGAGAAGAAAGGGGAAAGAAATAGTTAATTAGCGTCCATGCTACATGAGGATGATAGAGAAGGTGTATCAAAATTTATTGCAAAGTTGAGTTTGGGTGGGCACCTCCAGCTGGTTTGTAGATTGCTTTCGTGTAAGGTTGAAGCTCCAGCTAATCTCCCTCCCCTACCCGCCCCCCCGCCAAATCTTCTGCATTATGCGCATACGGACTTGGGTTAGAAGGGTTCTGTGCCAAAATCACCCAGCGCTGCAGCTTGTCCTTGAAGAGGAAACTAAGAAACGTATCATCTCGAAACAGCCCCAAGCCCTTTGAACCTCTGCCAGGTTTTGCTGTCAGAAGAGGAAACTAAGAAACGTATCATCTCGAAACAGCTCCAAGCCCTTTGAACCTCTGCTAGCTTTTCCTGTCGGAGAGAAATTGATGCTCCGGTTTTGTGTATCCAGGGGTGAATGTAAATGGCCGGTGTCTTCCCACCTCGTCGCGGTTGGGGGCTGAGGGAAGCTGTCGTGCCGAGACTTGCTTTCTCCCGCTGACGACGTCCTCCCTCTGCCTCACCTTCCACCCATTCTCGTTTTCTGTTGCACGTAGGCAGCCTACAGGTTGATCTACCACACCTACCTCCATGAGGGCTTCTGGAGCCTGTGGCGCGGCAACTCGGCCACCATGGTCCGGGTGATCCCCTATGCTGCCATCCAGTTCTGTGCCCACGAAGAGTACAAGCAGCTCCTGGGAAGCTACTATGGCTTTCACGGAAAGTAAGAGCACGCCGGGGTTGGAGCCTTCTCCTGGCAGCAGAGTCGGGAGCTGGCGGTGGGAGGGGCATGTGAGGTGGAGACGTTTCCAGGCCTGGAGGGATGAGAGTGGTTTAATGGATCAGCGGAGAGCAGGGCTGCTCCGTTAGAAGCTCTACGGGTAGAGAACCTTATCTGGGTGGCAGCCGTGTCATGCCCTGGAGGGCAGGAGCGAAGCAGCATGGCGTGTCCCTGCGGCCAGAAGTCTGGATTATGTCCCGAGAAGATTCCCTCTGTTGGAGACGATCCTGCCTTCTAGACGGGTTGGCAACAGAAGCACATCAGAATGGCCATCGTGGGTCAGACCAAAGGTCCTTCTAGCCCAGTGTCTTGCCTGCCGATAGTGGCCAATGCCAGATGTCCCACAGGGAATAAATAGAACAGAGAATCATTAAGTGATCCCCCCCCCCCGCTGCCCATTCCCAGACTCTGACAAACAGAGGCCAGGGACACTGTTCCTAGGCATCCTGGCTAATAGTCATTAGCGGTCCTATCCTCCATGAACCTATTGAGCTCTTTTTTGAACCCTCATATAGTCTTGGACTTCACCACATCCTCTGGCGAGGAGTTCCACAGGTTGACTGTGCGCTGCATGAAGAAATACTTCCTTTGTTTGTTTTTAAACCTGCTACCTATGAATTGCATTTGGTGACTCCTAGTTCTTACGTTATGGGAACAAGTAAATAACTCTTCCTTACTCCCTTTCTCCACACCTGTCCTGATTGTAAAGACCTCGATCATACCCCCCCCATAGCCTCAACGTGACCCAGGTGCTAGTTGGGGTTAGCATTCCCTGTCTGCAGAAGGCAGATGGTACAAAGCTTCTTTCTGCTGCCAACAGAAGCAAGGGAATGCAGCTCCCCCCCCCTCCCCCTGCCAG